TGTAAATAGGTAACCAAGAAGCAAGAATCATAATCTTCAAGTGGTGCTTGCTTACATCTTAATGATGTCAGTCAAACAGGTGAAGTAGATATATGATTTATGAAGCCATCATTGAGGGTATGTTCTGCCATCACTTGAAGATGACGAGCTTTCAGTATAGGCAAAAACAAGGCGGAACATGCATTCATGGGTTGCTCTTTCCCCAAGATGACGTGTAGATTCTCATCGTGCGTTGTGGTTTTAATTTTACTTTCCGTTGACGCTGATATGAATATTTCCATCGTAGTAGATCACAAGCATTTGTGTAGGAAGATTTGTTAGTATAAAGGTTATATTCTTCATGAAATAATAAAATATTTGATTTATTCAATATACATTAATAAAATCACCCTCCCCCTCTATATTAATTCAGAACGTGCTGAGCCTAAGTGGCAGGCTCGCATGTTTCGGAATTCTATGTGGCAAAATTACATTGTTCGTTATTAGGCTTGGATAGATATTAATTTACTTTCAATCCAAAAATAATTTGGTCTGGATTATCCATAAATATGTTGATTATTTATGGTCATTTCTTATTATAACCATTGAATTGTAAATGTATTTTAAAAGTTAATAACTTTTATTTTTTATCAGTTTTACATATATAATATATCAAATTAATCATCTATTGATGAGCTTCGACTTAACATCCATATTGTATGTATAAAAAAAATGAACTATATTTATCTTTATAACAATAATAAAATTATTTTTTGATATTAATTAGAAATATAAAATTATTTATTATGTCAATATATTTATATTTCAAGTAGTTATATGATATAAATTATAAAAATTATTATAATATAACACATGTAAGTAATAAGTGTCATTCTAAAATATATAATAATATATATTTTTTGTAACAAAGTAAATAAAATATAAAATAAATTTTCTCATTAATTTTAAAATTTAAAATATTTTTTTAACAAGCACCAGTGTAATACACGTAAATTTAGAATAATTTTTTAACAAACACTCATGTAATACACGAGGTGTTATACTAGTTATATTATATTGTACAGATCACAAGTCACTTTATTTGTTATATATATTATCAATTTGAAATATTAAAACTCACATAAATAAAAAAAATTATGGTTTCTCGTTATAGATAATTGGCGAATGAGATTAAGTTTTTATAAATAAATGAAATATATCTGACTGAATCGTAGATAACAACCATCATAATATGCATAGAAAATTGTTAAAGCATAGGCATCACACAAAACAAATTGAAGGCCAAAATAATTTCTTATATTAAATTACCATTTTTGATAAAATTGTTTAAAAGCGCCAAAATTGGGCCTGAAGCGGCATAATTTTATGTAGTTTTATTGTACTGGGAATTTAATAAAAACAGTAGAATATAATTTCTTTCGAAACAGATTTTATTTTTTTTTGGAAACAGAATTTATAAGATAAATTTTGTATAATTTTTCATTCAATTTATTAGATACTCTTGTGCACATCTAATTTCTTATTATTATATAGGACTGTAATTATATCTTATATTTTAGGCAGGGGAGGATCTAAAAAATATATTGAGGGGGCAATATTAGTTTCAAGAACATCATACATTTAATATAAGATCACAAAAAGCAATCGTTCCAAATTACGATACAATTAGGATTGCGTAGTTTTCTTTAAAAGTCATAATAGCCATAGGAACCACACACTTAAAAAGAAATGGTCCCTCATTTTCTCTCAAAAAATATGATACTTTTCTCAATCACAAAAAATTATATATTTAGAGTGTTATTGTTTATCGAAACTATAAATAATATACAAGACTGTCTAGAGGTCACAAGATCGATCCTGGCTATCATGAGGAGTGTGAGTGAGGCATTGCACTCTCCTTGGGACGATTGGTCTCACTACTTTGCGTGGGGATCACCTAGGCGTGATAGGCCCGTAACACTAGTTGGTGGGCTGCAGTGTGTGGTGAAGCGGTGGAGTGAATGTGAGGATACCTCCCAGTAG